TACATTTTTCTGTGTAGAATTCCAAATCAAGAATTTCTTTTAGTGAAATGTTTTTTTCAACTTCAGTTATTAGTAATTTTAATTTTGATTGAACTAAAGGTGTTATTAATACTCTTATTTAAATCTGATAATATTGAATTTCTGAGGATACAATTATTAATTCTGATAACTCTGAAACCTCTTCATATTTTAAATCTTTCTTGAGTTCTAATTGTGCTATTTATACTTATGATGGGTAGCGTAATAGGGAAGCAATAGGAAAGCAATTTTAAAAATGGTAAAATTAGATTTAACTGAAACATTTATTAATTATGTTTTATCCAAGATTAATATAGGTGTTGAATACGTAGTGGAATGATTTAGAAAGTCCATAAAGACTTCATTGTTTTACGAATAAAAATAATGTAGTGAAAAATATCCATGGAATGCTTACCATGTGTCAGACAGTATGATAGATAGAGACTTTATATGCATTATTTCTTTAACTATTTTGACCTCATTTCAATTTTAAAATTAATCACCTGGTTTGAAAATTAATTTCAAAAACCTGACCAGGAGACTTGACTCTTGGACCTTAATGGATTTTCAAATATTATCATTGTGTTTTGGGTATGTTTGTGTTAACAAAGATGGGCTGTCAATGCTCTATTCCATTTTTCTCCTTCTTTCATACTATGCAGGCTGCCGATAATATCAATATATGTAAACTTTAGTGATCCCCAGTCTCCAAAATTCCCTGGCATCCAATAAAATGATTATTTTTGAGGTGCTATGGTACAGTTGAAAGAGCCTGGGCATTGTCATCAGACAGAGCTGAGTTGGCATCCCAGCTCTCACACTTAGGGTAAGATATTAGGAGATTAACTGGAGTTTTCTGAACCTTTGTTTCACTCCGCACCTTGGGATAAATGAAGCCCACCTTGAAGGAATGTTATGAGTGTTAAATGTAATATATTTAAAATAATGTCAGGCCCTTAGAGGGCGTACAGAAAATGATAACAATCATTAGAATTTAACCTGTCAAGGATAAATAAGATTTTATACTTTCCTTTACTTCTTTTTGTCTTACCAATTGGAAGCATTCATTTTCTCATTGCCCTTCTTTGATTTCCTTTAGTTATTAATGAAAATAAGTTAGAGATCTTTATACTTGTGCTCCACCCCCATTCTACACCTGGCTTCACAGACCTGAGGACATTAAAGGTGAAATTATGTTCTCAAATCGCCTCCCTGGGAGAGGAATGTTATGAAAATATCAGGCATTTTAATTTGGATCTGGCAAGTTGGTATACTTTGTCATAGAGATCTTAATATTTGATCGCAGGTAACTAGAGATGAAAAGACAACCCTTTGAACCTATGGAGACACTTTTATTCCCAAGGCAAACTCTTTTTTTGGTGATAAAATAGAAGAGTGGTATCATCTTGGTCTTATCTGTTCATTTTGTTCAAGGGATTAGTTATACTGACAGGATGGTACTGGAAAGTTCTTATGTTTTATTCCTTATATCCCACTAGATTTGCTTTATTTAGTTTTAAATCAGTATTTTGCATCATGGCATGAAAAAGGTTGAATTTTAAAACTGATAATTATAAGTCACAATTGTAAACTATCTACATCTAAACAAAAATATGCATGAAACACTAAGGTTTAATAAGTAGAGTGAATATAAATATTCACTTAATATTTATTCTATTTGGGATGAATTTATCGGGAGTTAATTACTGCTAATAATATTTTTGAGCACCTACCATCTATTGGTACTATGCTAGTACTTTAGTAAATATAAAAATATACTATTGGATCCTTAACTATAAGGAGAGCGCTATCTAATTTCAGTCTAATGTCAAACTGTTTGTTTTAGTAGAAGGAAATTGCCTACTTTTCATTACAGCTTTTGTATAGGTGGGCTGACTGAAATTGACAACTATTTATACTTGTGGTTTTATTAATACAATTTGCTATTTTATTTTATTTTAATCAAAAACTTTAAACACTTTCCCTAACCTAAGGAAGACACAAAGACTGAAAGACACTTCAGTCTGTATATTGGTAGTGATTTTCTCAGCATGACTTGGTTGTCGGGGAGAAATTAAGCTGCAGATTTAAAAATATTCCTTAGTTGTTCGCACATTAATTTCATTACTTATTTTTAGAGTTTTGATTTCAAATTATATTAAATAGACATTTAATTACAAAATAAAAGACAAATAGGAATTGAGTATTTATTTTAAAAGATTTGTATCAGTTTTAACTTTCACTTTTTGCAGATGGTTGAAAATTTACCAGATAAGTATTCGATTGTAAGTGATTTTTATAAGAAGTATATTAGGATAGAAAAAGTTTTATTGACCTGCTTAAAAGGAATAAATCTAATAGCAGTTTTCCCAGAGAGATAAACACTATTTTATTGGAAATTTTAGTAATTTAGGAATGATATTATTAATACAGTTTATAGAATAGTAATTTTGACGTTAAATTTTCATAGTTCTAATAGTTTAACTTAGATGAGTAGAAATAAAACATTAATTCAGACAAATAATACATCAAAAAGGTGAAGAATTTTGTAAGCCAAAATTGTATTTGTGAATTCAGATATGTATATAATAAATGAAATGTGTTTTTTAATGGATTAACAATTTTAGGATGATTATGCTGATATACTGATATATTCATATATTGATAGCAAAGTTTTAAAGTCAGTTTGAAGCTTATTTTTTGTA